CAAGAATGGAACACTCGAGACTTTGAAACTTTCAAGCTGATCTCGTACATTGCTTTGCATTCTTCGTTTCTTAATCTTTTGTCTCTGACGATCAATCGATTATTCGCGATCTGGTTTCCTTTCGAGTATATTATGATTATGCGAGGTAGGAACATTGCGGTGATCGTGTGTATTGTGTGGGTGATTTCAATTGTGATGGCACTCGTGTTCACATCAACCCCTTTAAAAAAACCTGCTCCGTATTTTCATTTGGGTATGCTGCTCGTGTTTCTCGTCGCGTACTTGAAGATTTATTGCATCGCCAGAAAACAACGCCGTCGAATCGTCTCCCAGTTTCAATCTATTTCTTATAACTACAGAGTCAGCATGGTACTTCACGATCATTTGACAAATCGAACTTTAGCGATTTTGATCAGCGTTTCTATCGTTCTATTTTTGCCCGACACATGGTTCCAACTGGCTGGAAGTAGCGACTATACGAGATTCCGCTGGTCTTTCACCACAATGTTTATGAGTTCATTTCTAAATCCTTGCGTCTACGTATGGAGATGTGAAAAGTTTCGCGTGGCGTTATATAAGACTTTTGGTTTGTCTCGCCGCGGACGTCGATCAAAAAAGACCTTTGCAAATAGGAAACAGGTGAATAGAAATAACTCTAAAGGCGTCTCCCTGAGTGTTGACGGAAACATTGAAAACAGTACAGTAAGAGTCAGAGATGTAGAAGATGTAGAAACAATGTTGTGACAAGGAGAGTTTTCAATGAATTGCTGCTGGAAACAAAGCACGTTTCATTGTTTGATTTGAAGACTTAAGATAAATCAAAAACTGCAATCGTCAAGTGACGGTGTTTAACATTTCGTTTTTTTTTTCTCTTATATGCGGAATGTTGTTGCGGAACATTTCGGTTTTTTTTTCTCTTATATGGGGAATGTTGTCAGTATCGAGTAGATTACACAAACGTCGTTCAAGTTCAGCTTAACGTACTTAGCGAGAAAATAACAGCACTTGTTAATCATTTTTGAGAGTTTTCCTGCTAGCCCATTGACGTGCAGCTGCTCAATGACTAATTAAGGATGGTAAAGCCTTAGAAAACCGGCAACCACGACTGACAACAAGACATCCAAATTTACTGCTCTTTTTTAGCTGCTTTTATCATTGACGCAAACGGAAGGCAGTCAGCTGAATTTTCTCATTTTTACCCCACGCTATGGCAAAATGGAATGACTCAAGATACGTGATAAGAGCCTTAGGCAGCTGTTTTTCACTTCAATTTACAACATTTCGTGATCTCCAATTGTTTTAGCTAGCTGATCACGGACTAAACTTTCATTGGTAAGAGATCTTATAGTGGTCAATAGCCTTAGTAGGTTTGTCGGCTCCGGGGCTGTCGTTTAATCATTTCTGTATTTGTTCCACTGAGGAAATCCTGTGGTCGTGAATTTCATCCTTTAACAAATCATCAGACTGTGAACATCACTCCTGAAGCAAGATTAATTAGAATCAGTTGGGTAATTTAGATTCTGCACGCACACTGATTGGCTAATAGTCCATGCACGTTTCATCTGATTAGAACATAAAATGTGGAAGATCATTTCTAACATAAGGCATGTAAGGAGGCGAAAGCTAAGTTTTAACAGTCTCAAATCAAAGTGGCCAACTGAAAACACTTGTTAAGTGAGGAAAGGCGAATACCACCCACCTATGGCTGATGACATACCGTCGAAATTCCCTTCTTCCGTGTTCTGAACATCCCTTTGTATAATTTTCCGCCTATGTTTGTCAAAATAAAATAGTACTTATGTTTTTACAAATTTAAATAACGAATGCCTCTTTTTGGTTGAAATAGCGCAGCAAATTCTCTTCCCAAGAAAAAGATCCACACTCTACCTCAGATCAACATTTCCTCTTCAGCGGGAGGCCTAAAATCTGAAAAAAAAACTATATTTAATGCTAGAATGGTCACGAAAGTATGCCCTGTTCTTGATAAGCATTTTCAATGTCTCTCCTCGGAATATAATGTTGTTATGAGTCTGGTATATAATGTTAGTATGACTGGTCCGGTAGAACTCATAACCCTGTTTTCGAATCTTCTTCCTGTTTTCGAGAAGTTAAGAAAACGCGAAGTACCCAGTACATATTTTTACTCATCCTCTTTCCCCTTCGGCAACGTTTTCTGTTTGCTACCTAGCCACGATAATGTACATCTCATTTTACGGGCAAAATTTGTTTTCCCAAGACGTTATGATCGATGCCTCAGCAAAGAGATGCGGCGGTGAAGAACAGAAACAGCGTACTTTAGCAAGCTTTAACAGGAGCCCTGGCTTTAAAAGCATTATTTGCGCGGTCAAAGGAAATTTACAGCTTGTTATCATAATAAACAAGTGATTTGTCTTTTTTTCGTTGCAACAGTTTCTTATGGAAATAGGAAGCTCTTCCTCCATATTTCCAACTTGTCTTTTGGGTTACGGAAACAAAAAAAAAGTCTCACTGCAAAAAGAGGGAGGAAAGCCAATCCGATTATACAGAACAACGGAACATGTTAAATTACTTAGTGCTAAAATAAGGAAGCTTTTTCTAAGAAACAAATAAATTTGAGGAACAACAGTTGTGTTTCACGAAATGTCTGACAAAAGGCGTGAAATCATTGATAGCCTCAACATCCTTTTCACAGTGTTTAAGAGCATTTCCATGACAAAAAACAGGAAGATTTCGTTCAAACATGATACAAATGTTGGGTTCGACGATTAAATATATTGTGACAAAAAGAAGATCAAATTACATAAATCCTTTGTGTTTCAAGATATGAATAGGTTGTTGCCCCGTTATACATAATTCAGTAAAACAAAATCCAAGTGGTATAGGAAATACAACATCTCATAAGTCAGTCATTTTTTTTCTGTCTCGGTCAGCAGTTGACGGCAACTTGTCTATTGCACACAGCGGCTCCCTGGGGGGTCTCACGTCACGGGACAAATTTTTTCTCCATACGTGCAAGGCCGAATTCATAGCGTTGAAGATGAGCGAAATTATCATACTCGACTGCGCTGTGAAAGGAAATTGTATATTAGTGGTGCCGGTCCTGCCTTCAAAATTTTGCGAAGTCATTAGAAAATGCGTAACGTGCATAAATTAGATTGTGCTTGTCGCAGACTCTTTCCAAACTTCAGTCCCTCGCTGCTGCATTTCCGCCAAATCCTTGAACATTTTTCTTTCCCCTGGTACTCTCATTAGAGGCTTCTTTTTTATAAAACATCTTGGTTTCACGCTTTTTGGCACTTCCATAAATAACTAAAAATAGTCAATATTTTTGCATTTTAGTTTGCAACTTTTTCGCCGCAAAATGTAACCGGTCTAGATGGTCTAGATTGGAGTCGCTTGAATTTCCAGTTTGCTTGCACAGATAGAACAGGTTAAATTAGTAATTATAAAACTATAGGGTAACAGCCAATTTTTGGAAGGAAAAACGATCGAAGTGCGGTTTCATGACTGATGGAGACACTGTCAAATTGTTTGCTCTTCTGAGGTTTTATCTCGCATCTGATTGTTGGCTACACAATCAACATGTCAAAATCAAATCAAAGTGTTCAACGGTATTTTGGCCTTCACAGCAACACCGAGCCAATCACGCAACTTGAAGTGTCCAAATAACTTACGAAGGGGGTGGGCATTTGTCGCTCATCAGTCGTTTGCCAGGGACTAAGCAAGGAACGATCAGATCAGTTTGTAAATGTGATCCTCTCTTTCATTAATTTCTTGCCCATTTGGATTTCTTGACTAGAACCGACGTCAGGAAGAAGATTTAAGGTAGGCAGCAGGAATACTCTGAGTTCAATATTCAGTATTTACCGATCGACAAGAAGTATGTTGATACATGAAGTATGTTGATGTGTGTAAAATGCGTATTTACATTTGACTTCAAAGAAATTTTTTTTATTAGAAATTCGTCGTTCGTTTAGTCTTCCAGGCGTTCAGTTTATTTGCGCTGCGCTGCAACTAACTCGTTTGTTGCTATTTGTTATGCAAATGAAATTGTATATGCCATTGTGGCCTATATGTTTACTTCACGTCTTTTTCTCGCCTTGGCTTTGCTCGCTCCCAACCAATCGAGAAGAGTGGAACATTCGACAAACAGAACTTTCTTTATTATACCTCTTAGTTACCACACGCGCTGCGATTGGTCAAATTAGCGGGCGTATTCTGCTCCGCTGTATGGCCGGCTAAAAGTTTTGTCCGAATGGCCTCCGGCAAGCCGTTTAACTATTTATCACTCTGGTCTATGGCTGTTCTTGAGCCGTATTATTTTGAGCCAAACATGCTCCAAACCCCCAAAATGATAACAGTAGAGACAGTGAAGTGGATAATCGTCTGGAAAAAAATACATTTTGCTGACCTTGTGACGGATGTAAAGTCAGTTGCAGGTTTTTCTCTTTCCAGCCAATTTCGAGTCGGAAGGAATGACATCACATAAACATAACACGGCTACAGTTTCAAAATAGCGGCCTCCGAAGTCGCTTCTTTCGAGACGAATTTCTTCAAGGGAGCAGGCACTTCCGAGGCTGAAGCTGAATGTTTACTTGCTATTAGCGAAGACAACCAAAGTAAGCTTTATGGAGTGACCCTCTCCTTTAAGAACAAAAAGTGCAAGGAAAAGACCTTAAAAACAGATCGTTCAACATCACAAACTACAAGTCCAGTCTTGTGGACGACGAATATGCCTTCCTCGTCTCGAACTACAAAACGTGATGGTGTCCACACAAACTGTATTCTCAATTTCATCACCTTCTTCGTCAGACATTCCAGCCACGTCGTCTAATGAGCCAAGCTGATTATCAGTTTCGGAATGTGAATCTTTTTCATCATTTATAAGGGCCGTTACTCCTTCGAATAGTTACCTCTTCTGTGAAAACTATCTCTTTTTCTTTTTTCCCAACTGGTACAATTCGATCCAAAACAAGAATCACAGCTTCCTTTGGAAAATCAACAATGCAATATCTGATGTAAAGAAAGATGTTTTCTGATACACAATAAATGTCGACATTGAAGAAATGAGACTCGTGTTCATTTTGAACTATGGAAGAGGTAACAACTCCGAGATACTGAAAGGTGACGAGCTTGGGATTCATGGATTCCAGGTACTATAGTTGCCTTTACTGCGCTGGAGAACAGCCTGATTTAAGTTTATGTCTTCTTTCACCATTTTTTTTTTCGGATTAATTACGTTTGCCCTTGTGGTTTCCTTTTCCGTCTTTTCCCATGGGGACAAAGAAAAATCAGAAAAACCGTAGCTAACTGAAGCCACTGACTAGTGATCACTGGTTCGGGAAAGAAACCAGGAGGATTATCGCTACGTTGTCGATCAGCTCTGATAGGTCAGACCAGACCAACTCTGACAGCTCTGGCCTGCACGCTCGCTTGTCTGCAGTGTAAACGACTAGTCACGAGGGGCCAGTCACGCGACTGTCGCGCCATATATATCAAAGACCAAAGGTGACTAATACGGGCAATTTGAGATTTTCTGGTTACCGGGCCAACCATGTGTTACTCTTGTGGACCTCTCACGCGATGTTTATTCTGTTAGAGAGCAAACAAGTTTCTTACATCTACATCCTTTATAAGAGAATACAATGTAATTTCTGCATAGGAAAAAAGAAGTCCAAAGGGGTCAATATCGTTGTCTTTTCTAGTGCTTCTCGTGTCGCTGTCGAATTTTAGCCGCGCATTCGATTCGCTTGTCGCTGATAAGCAATTCTCGCGTCGTTGGTTTTCAGGGTCGTGTCGCTTGTCGCTTTTACCCCTTGGAAGGGCTAACCATCAGTGTACACCAAAAACAATATCAATTAGCATTTAAAAGTTAGCGTCACCGTATCCATTGATAGTCTATTAACACGGAGCCAATCACGCAACCTGAAGTGTCCAAATACCTTATGAAAGGGATTGACATGTGTCGCTCAACATTTATTTGTCAGAGACTAAGCAAGGTACGATCGGTTTGTAAATTTGATCCTGACTGTTTCATTAGTTTCTTGCCGATTTTTTTTTCTTGAATTGAGCCGATTTAAGGTGAGCTGATTTAAGTTAGGTAGCAAGGATTCTCTGATTTTGATATTACCGACAAATACAAGTATGTGCGTATGTGCATGAGTGTTTTTTCCCACTGTAATACGTTGAGGTATATATAATTAAGTGTTGTTGTATTATTTTTATTAATATTTAGTCCAAAGTCCTCCTCATGCGATGAAAATTTTTTTAAGGAAATTTTCGCGTGAGGAAGACTTTGAAATCCTGGCATTTGAATAGGAGAATAATTCAAAACCATTACTTAGACAATATTCTGTTCTTTTATGGACCCCATATTAGCATTTTATTTCCTCGCGAGTATCTTCTTGTTTTTACTGTAACAGTTTCTACTTCACGCTTTTTTCCGTATATATCTCAACGATCGCGCTTTTTATTCACTATTTGTCAAAGATTACAGACTAGCAATCGAAAGCTTGTACTAATTTTAAACTCCTTTAACCAGAGAACGTTTTTAAATTTTAATAAAAATAATTAAAACGGCTTTTTTCAAATTAATGGCTGCCAAAGTACCTTGTTTACCTGTTAACTAATTTCGAGGGAATGATTAAAGTTTGTCTTAAACATATATCGCATCCCGTTCTTCCCCACAAAATGTCACCTCGTGCTTTGCGAGGCTGTTTTCATGGAGGGTGGAAATAGGCGTAAAGTCACTTGGGCTGTCCACGTGAGCAAAATCTGCGTCACTGGAATACATACATACGTATACTTTATTTCCTCTCGAATCTTAAGTAGCTAGAATTGGCTAATATCTTCGAGAACATGAATATAGCACAATACAATATTTATGCTAAAAATTATGAATGTGCTAAACTGACATAATAAAACTAGAGACAAGTTGCAACTGAACAGTCATACTGTAATATATTTCGCTTAAAGTCAGCAATTTTAAGTAGAAGTTCTAAGCGAGTCTGGAAGAGTGTTCCATAATTTATTTCCATAATTTAGCTGCTAAAAAAAAATATGAAAAGGCGTGCAGGCCGTAAGTTTTTGTTTTCAGGTCAGCAAGAGAGGTCAGGAAGAGACAGAATATAATTACCGCGTGTAAACTATAGGTCGTAGATCGCAAAGTAAACATATTGTTTAAATATCTTGGATATATTTTGGTTACATCTAGGCCCTCTTGGGATTTTCGAAAGTGGGAGTTGATTTCAAAATACGTTGAGAGAGATTTATTACCTCGGGGATAAGACCTATAGGGAGGGATTAACTCTTCTTTCCCTTAGCTTCATTTTATTGGCCTAAGTAAACGAGCAAAAACGTTAATTAGTTTTTTTTTTCTTTCAGTCAACAATGCGTCCATTGATTATTTTACTCATCGCTAATACCACTTTGCTGTGCTCCTATGTCAGTGGAGTTGATGCAGATGATGACGCAGCGTTTGAAAGAGTCGCTGAATGCATCTATATTTGTACTCATGCTGACAACGCTGACAAAAACCTACCAGTGGCAACAGTAATCTGTGATGCTCACAAGGTTAGAGCCCGGTCAAACTTTACGCTCGAAAAACCCGAATCAAAGTAAAATGTATTTTTGATGAATTTTGTACGTTTTCCTGCATCACATATAGCAAAAGGATTATCCTTTTGTTTATTGCCTTTTTTTTCAATGTTTCCTATGGGCTTTGTTTTTAAAGCAGTATACTTTAACTCTGCCATTTTATTTAGCCGGCTGAATGACTTTCTAATGTTATCTGGGCTTGCGTACATTATAGGTTTGGGAGGAGGCAACGAAACAATGTCAATTTAACTAGAGGCAGCTAATTAATGGGGCAGCTTAGATTCTAAGATTTTTCTATCAATGTCACTAAATTCCTTCAATAATGTAAAAAAAAAAAAAACTTTTTACAGAATTTACTTTTATTGATACTTCCGACAGCTTAGTACACCGGTTAGCTGGAGACCTGCGTATTAAGATATTGATAAATTTTATTTAATTTTTTACTAGACCGGGTATGAATGCATGACAAGGCCATTTGATTCCTCACCGGATTCAAGCACTGAAATCTTGGATATTTACCGCGCATATATGTTAGAGCTTTTTTTCCTGGCCAATAAAGCTAACATGTGCAATCCACCACTTCCTTACAAGGAACTGAAAGAGCTGGTCGACAAATCTGGTGAGATAGAACATGCAAGGCAATACTCAGTAACAAAGTGAACCTGGGGTGCTTTCCTTTTCAACCAGCAAAGTGCAGTTGCATTGAGTTGGCTTTGATAATTTTTAATATCAAATCTCTGAATACTTATAAAAAATAAAGTCACATAAGCATTAGCTGATTTTCATGTGGGTCGTCCGGAGCTAGTCAGTTTTCAGAAGAGAGGAAAACCGGAGTGCCCAGAGATAACCCCTTTCATGGTACCGCGAACAGCAAACTCAATCTGGAATCCTGGGGCGCGTACTTTCACCACGTTAGTCACGTGGTACATCGTCCTTACCATCAGGCCAAATCACGTTCTCAGGTCACTTTACAGAAACAAACAGGATCGTGTTGCATAAAAGCAATCGGTGATCCTTAACTACTCCCCATTAGGTATTGGTACGACTAAGAATGCTATTAAAGGTTTACAATACAAGTTGCTCAGGCGTTAATTTGCACTGGAGTACAAATTAAAAGTCAACCATNGTTCCAGGCTTCATAATTTGCTCAGCGCAATTACAGATACAAACAAGCTTGAACGACCTAAAAACACATCTTCCATGGCCAGATTGAACCACAAATGGAGGGTAACCCTTCTTTTTGCCATCGGCATCTTCCTACGCTGAAAAAAGCTTTTAGGCTTTTTTTTTTGGTAGGGGGGGTTTGTTATTTACATTTTGCTCAGTGAAATACTCGAAATTTCGTCGACACGAATAATCTATTAGACAACCCATAAGTGAAGTATTTATTTCTTATTTTTATTCTATTTTGTGGGGTGGTCTGTAGAGGGTGTCCGTAGGGGTAGTCCGTGGACCGGTCCATAGCTAGTCCGCGGAACCGGTCCGTAGTGGGGGTCCGCGGACTGGGGATCGGTGTTTTCGGGTTACCCTTGCAATTCTCTTCTCTATGGTGTTAAATGCCGCTGCTAGATTTACTGTTGGCCTATCCAGTTTTGACCATATCTCCTCTGCCTTGTACGACCTGCACTGGCTTCCTGCGATTTATCGTGTTCGGTTTAAACTGTTACTTCTTGTTTACAAAGCTCTTAATAACCAAGCACCTGACTATATAAAGGACTTTTTACACAAGACTAACAAAACTTATCGCCTGCGCTCCCAAGACCATAACCTCCTCGCTGTTCCCAGACCCAAACACAGGACATTTGGTGATCACGCCTTTGCACACTCTGGACCTTTTCTCTGGAACAAACTTAACAACTCCGAGATACTGAAAGGTGACGAGCTTTGGATTCACGGAGTCCAGGTACTAAATTTGGCTTTACTGCGCCGGAGAACACCCCGATTTAAGCTCATGTCTTCTTTCACCTTTTTTTCGGATTGGTTGCGTTTGCGCTTTTGGTTTCCTTTTCAGTCTTTTCCCATGGGGACAAAGAAAAATCAGAAAAACCGTAGCTAACTGAAGCCACTGACTAGTGATCACTAGTTCGTGAAAGAAACCAGGAAGATACTACGCTGTCGATCAGCTCTGACAGATCAGAGCAGATCAACTCTGACAGCCCTGGCCTGGACGCTCGCTTGCCTGCGGTGGAAACGGTCTGTCATGAGGGGTCAGTCACGTGACTGTCGCGCTATTTATATCAAATACCAAAGGTGACTAATACGGGCAATTTGAGATTTTCTAGTTACCAGGCCAATCATGTGTTACTCTTGCGGACCTGGGGATCTAGATGTTTATTCTTTGAAAGTGTATTCATTGGAAAAGCAGGTTTCTGACACTTACATCCTTTATAAGAGAGTACAATATAATTTGTACCTAGGAAAAGAGAAGTCCAAAGGGGTCAATGTCGCTGTCTTTTCTAGTGCTCGTGTCGCTATCGAATTTTAGCGGCGCATTCGATTCGCTTGTCGCTGATTAGCAATTCTCGCGTGGCTGGTTTTCAGGGTCGTGTCACTTGTCGCTTTTACCCCTCGGAAGGGCTAACCATCAGTGTGCATCAAAAACAAGATAAATTAGCATTTTAAAGTTAGGGTCACCGTACCATTAATAGTCGATTAACAAGGTGCCAATCACGCAACTTGAAGTGTCCAAATAACTTATGAAAGGGGTGGACATGTGTCGCTCAACAATAGGCGATATGACTACAACTACCAGAATCCTTTACTTTTTCTGTTTCTTGTGCTAATTAGGGCAATTGTCATTTAAACCCCACTGGGACTTCAAAAATTTAAATAATAAAGAAAAAGCGAAAGGAATTCTGGTAGTTGTGGTCAAATGACGACAACGTGCAAATCTGCTGACTGTTACATTAGTTTCCTGCCGATTTTTTTCTTGAATTGAGCCGATTTAAGGTGAGCTGATTTAAGGTAGGTAGCAAGAATTCTCTGGTTTCGATATTACCAGCAAATACAAGTATGTGTGCATGTGCATGTGTGTTTTTTCCCACTCTAATACGTTAAAATATAATTAAGTGTTGTTGTATTATTTTTATTAATATTTAGTCCAAAGTCTTGGTTGTGTCCTGGTGTACCGGTACACAGAGGGAATAACCATTGCACTCCTTTCTTTACGAACCTTTGTTTAGCTGTTGAACATTGTTGGGTTTTTTGTATCGGTTCTTGTGAACCGGTACACGAGGACAGAACCAAAGTCTTCCTCGTGCGATTAAAAGTTTTTTAGGGAAACTTTTACGTGAGGAAGACTTTGGAATCCTGGCATACCGCAATTACAATCGAATCGGACAATAACTCAAACCCATTACCTAGACAGTATTCTATTCTTTTACGGACCCCATGTTAGCATTTTATTTCGTTACAACTATCTTCTTGTTTTTATTGTAATTGTTTCTACTTCACACTTTTTTCCGTATATATTTCAACGATCACGCTTTTGACTCACTATTTGTCAAAGATTGCAGACTAGCAATCGAAAGCTTGTGCGAATTTTAAACTTTTTTGACCAGAGAACGTATTTAAATTTTAATAAAAATAATTAAAACGTTTTTCTTTTTTCAAATTTATGGCTGCCAAAGTACCTTGTTTACCTGTTAACTAATTTCGAGGAAATGATTAAAGTTTGTCTTAAACATATATCGCATCCCGTTCTTCCCCACATAATGTCACCTCGCGCTTCGCGTGGATGTTTTCATGGAGGGTGGAAATACGCGTAAAGCCACTTGGGCTGTCCACGTGAGCAAAATCTGTGTCTCTGGAATACATATATACGTATACTTTGTTTCCCCTCGAATTTGATTTCAAAATATAGCTTGAGAGAGGTTTATTACCTTGGGGATAAGACCCATATGGAGGGATTAACTCTTCATTCTGACTACACTCACACGAGACATTCCATGTGAAAAGCTTAGTAATGATGCGTCAGCCAGCCATCAGATTCAATGTATCCTAACCTCTAACTCCTAATTTAACTAATGGCAGTAGCAGATCTAAGAGGTGTGGGGGGGGGGGGGGGGGGGGNGAAGAAAGAAAAGCCGGCAGGGCAAGAAAAACAAAACCGTCTCGCCTTAGCTCAAGGTCTGGATCCGCCACTGAATGGTTCCAAGAATTAGAACCTGTACTACGCCAGATACGAAAAGCCACTAAAAAGGCATTCTTTATATGTGGCCAAAAAATATGTGGAAACGAATTCCTCATCTAATGCAATCACGAGACCCCTAGGAAAGGGTATTCAACAATTATTTACTAAAGTTGATCAAATCGAAACAATCCTAAAAAATAAAATGTGCGAACACAACGACTGACCGACCTAGGATGACTTAAATCTCCCGCCAAAACCTTAAGTAGTACGTAAGCATCCCGTGATGCACCGCGAGTCTCCCCAACGTGCCGTCAGAATATTAATTTCCGCCTAATTCGTCACTCAATCGTCAGAAATTACATTTTCCCTTAGCTTCATTTTCTTGACCTAAGTAAAAGGGCAAAATCGTTAATTAGTTTTTTTTCTTTCAGTCAATAATGCGTCCACTGATTATTTTACTGATCGCTAACACCACTTTGCTGTGCTCCTATGTCAGTGGAGTTGATGTAGTCAGTGATGATGCAGCGTATGAAAGAGTCGCTGAGTGCATCTATATTTGTACTCATGCTGACAACACTGACGAAAACCTACCAGTGGCAACAGTAATCTGTGATGCTCACAAGGTTAGAGCTCGGTCAAACATTCCAGACACTTGAAAACCCGAATCAAATAAGTAAAATGTATTTTTGATGAATTTTTTAGGTTTTTCTGCATCACATATAGCAAAAGGACTATCCTATTGTTTATTGCTTTTTTGTGTGTGTGTTTCCTGGTGACTTTGTTTTTAATGCAGGATACTGTAACTTCTGCCCTTAATTACCTATTTTATTTAGCAACTGAATGACTTTCTAATGTTTTCTAGGCTTGTGTACATTGCACGTTTGGGAGGAGTCTTAGGGCAACGAAACAATGTCAAATTTAACTAGAGGCACCTAATTAATGGCGCAGCTTAGATTCTAAGATTTTTCTATCGATGTCAGAAAATTCCTTCAATAATTAAAAAAAAAAACGTTTTACAGAATTTACTTTTATTAATACTTCGGACAACTTAGTACGTTAGCTGGAGACCTGCGAATTAAGTTATTAATAAATTTTACTTAATTTTTCACTAGACCGGGTATGATTGCATGACAAGGCCATTTGATTCCTCACCGGATTCAAGCACTGAAATCTTGGATATTTACCGCGCATATATGTTAGAGCTTTTTTTCCTGGCCAATAAAGCTAACATGTGCAATCCACCACTTCCTTACAAGGAACTGAAAGAGCTGGTCGACAAATCTGGTGAGATAGAACATGCAAGGCAATACTCAGTAACAAAGTGAACCTGGGGTGCTTTCCTTTTCAACCAGCAAAGTGCAGTTGCATTGAGTTGGCTTTGATAATTTTTAATATCAAATCTCTGAATACTTATACAAAATAAACTCACATAAGGCTTCGCTGATTTTCATGTGGGTCGTCCGGAACTAGTCAGTTTTCAGAAGAGAGGAAAACCGGAGTGCCCGGAGAAAACCCCATTCATGGTCAGAAGGCGAGAGCCAACGACCGCGAACTGCAAACTCAATC